CTGCATGTTGCCATCCTTCGCCATGACGATGACGGCAAGAGTCACACCACCGAGTTCCCTAGCGCGAGGAGCTTTCAAACTTCAAACTCGGGCCAAGCCTCTCTGTGTTGCCTGTTTGGAATCTCACTTGCTGCTTACTGTGGAGCAACAGCCATGCGCGCAAGACAATCATTTTTCCCGACATTTAGAGGCCAGGTTGCTCGACAAGGCCCAGTGACAGCATCGCAAATGCGGAAAAGATGCGTCACTACAGCCATTGTGCACACAATTTTATCCTTGGGACGTTTGGGTGAATCTAGGGCAGGTGCGAAACACAAGCTGGTAATTAGCAGACTATGATAGAAAAACACTTCATTTTCAAAACCGCACGCTGCAAATCTTCTAGCTTTGGGGACGGGAGGTCCCGCAGCACGCACATGTGCATGCAGGCAACTCCACCGCCGCTGCACCACCTTGCGCTCGAACAAAGCAGGCGGGCTGTCTCAGCAGGCGCTGCTCGGTCCTGCATTATGGGGGGGGCATCTGCCAACACTGACGTGGATCTGCATGCAACGGAATGTACACCCGCCTGACTGGCAGGACCTTCATCCAAACTGACTTCTCCTCCCAGTGCATCATCAACACCGCTCAGTCCTTCTTAAAAAGTACTCAGAGCCCAAGGTACATCTTGGCGCGGTCATATAGCACCTCAAGAAGATTTCGCCGCAAGGCCATCTGCGAGCTGCGCAGTTCAGCTCGTCAAGAATTTCTGCAACACATCTTATTCTAATTTTGCGAGTTTTGCTGCTAGAACTAGCAGCAAGTTGATTGTTCTCAGCAATCCCCATACATAGCTTGTTGTACACGTAGCTCCCCCATGATTCAAACCCACAACCCACGTTTCACAGGCATGCTGGATTTTGGTTCGAAGCCGCCGGCTTTTTCATGCGCAGGCCCCATTGTGAAGGCTACGGAAACGGGCCAGAGAATGGAGTACCCTACAGACTTGTGTCTTATCAGGAAAGTGTCAGGGTCTGGGCCCCGCGCCAGCGGGCGGTAGGCTCAAGGTAAGAGGCTCGGGCTGGAGGAAATAATGTTTGCAGCTAGTGTTGGGGTTCAGGGCTTAGGGCTTAGGGTGCCTGCGGCTGGTGTCCAGATGATACAGCCAAAAGCGATATCAATATCAACAACGGCATATGGGTACACTCAAAATTTCCCAGTACCTGGGTAAGCCTAATACTGACAATGCCTTTGGATGTTTAGCATGCATGAAGAGGTTTTCTGGTCTGTAGTCTGTTCATCACAAAGTTACAACAGGGTCACGCAAGCTTAACCATGTGCCGAAACT